ATATACTTTTTGAAAAATTATTAATTAATTAGGACGTGTGAGATACACCATATTTATTTTTATTCATAGTATATGTAATGGTTATTTAAAACCATAAATAATTTTTTTTCTTCTAAAATTCGTTTTAACAAATCCAAATATTATAATATATATAATAATCAATTTGAAATTCTTTTAATCGATATATTAAATTTTCTATCTTTTTACCATCTTGTTTATATCAGTTAATTTATATGATATTATTAGAGATTTGTTTCAATTATATTTTAAAATATTATAGTTGATTAATTTTTCAAGATGTCTTTTTTGTCATTTTACATTCTTATCAGGTAGTTCTTGTCAAACATAATTTGTTCATTAACTACCTTATCAGCTACTATCTAGCTTATAAGTTAATAGCTAGTTTATCAACTAGTTTGCGAAACATAACCTAAGTTAACAAGTAAGAGCATCTCCAAAAGCTATGCTAAAATGGAGAAATGAAGCATCTCCACATAGAATACTTGTTGGAGTTGGATGTAATTTTTTTAGATATTTTAATTTTTGATACTCTATTTTATAACAGATTTGATCTCTTCCTCAACTTTCATTTTTAGGATGTGATGCTCCTTTAATCAATAAAATATGCTATAATGAGCAAATTTACAAATAATACTCGGCAATATACTAAATAATAAGATATAAAAGTATAAGTATAAGTATAAGTAATTTACTAAAACTAATTAATATACAAAAAATATTATAGTTATATAAGATAAAGAATATGGATTTAATTAATGGGCAAATTGCATGAAAAAGTAACGTACTCTAACTTGATTCCTATTTTCGGTAATGTACTTTTAAAACTTTTATTTTGGTACCTAAGATGTAAAGTTTTAGACATTTAAGTACCTGAGTAATCGGTTGAAACATTAATCGGTTACCATGTTGATGTGGCGAGTGATGTGGTATCTGGTTAATACTTCAACAAATAATACTGAATTGGATACCACATCACTTGCCACATCAACATGATAACCTATTAATGCTTTAACTAGTTACACGAATACTTAAATGCTTAAAAATTTACATCTTATGTACCAAAATGAAAGTTTTGAACGTACGTTATCCAAAATAGAATTCAAGTTAAAGTACGTTACTTTTTCATGTAATTTGCTCTTAACTAATATACTTACATTAATTAATATACATTTAAAATGCTTATTGTTAAATTATAATTAATAAATATATGTTAAATAATTTAATTATAACTATTTTTAATGTATATTAATTATTTTAAATTAATAAATTAAAATAAATCTATTTGAAATTGGTAACAAGGAATATGCTTTTCAAAAAAGGAAATTAAAAATGACCGACCAAAATGGTTAATTAAATTATATTTTTATTTCAAGATCTTGAATACAATGCATTTAAATTGATATGTTTATTTTAATTTTTTTTCAAAATTGTTTCTTAATGTTTTTGAAGTATGATTCATTCAGACGTTTGAGTATTAAGAGCGTTTTTTATAAATAAGAGCTTAAAAGCTTTAAATGTTCTTTGAAATTTTAAGTGGTAAACGTATACCTTAATACCTCTTAATTTTAATCCATCATCCATCAAATGGTTCAAATTTTGGGAGCTAGAAGAGATTTGTTAGCAAAAACTATTTATCATTTATACTTTTGTAAAAAACTATTTATCTTTTATATTTTTGCACTAGTTTGACCGATTCAGATTTCAGATGTAAAAACAAACAGTCTTACTGCTCTAGATATCAAACTTCAATACCACCACTTATAAATCAGAAGTGAAATCAGAATACCTTTTAAAAAATGACCTTATTAAAAAGTAATTTGCTATTTCCATTTTTTGAAAATGAATATAATACTGATTATAAATGTAACTAGATAATATATATATATATATATATATATATATATATATATATATATATATAGACTTGGGATCATGTGAGACCAATGGTTTTTCGTGAGACCCGTAAGACCAATTCTC